AGAAAAGAAAAGAAAAGAAAAGAAGGTGATGGGTCCTTCCCTTCTGCTGAGGTTCCTCAGCCAGCCTGGCCCCTGTGGTGCTTCCCTGAACACACACAGCTCTGCACATCGCTGGGGACGCAGGAAGGGAGGCAAATTCTCTGGTGCCCACTGGATGGCAGTGCACAAATGTTCAACACCGAAACCCATTTTGAGATGGTTTCTTTGTCAATGCATCTTTCCAAGTGGTATTTTTGCATGTTTTGGCCAAATTCTCATTTAGGGTAATTTATTCAACCCATGTGAAAATAAAAGAAATAGCAGTTTACAATGTCACGCATTAAAGATGTCACAGCTATTAGCAGGGTATTCCTGATTCTCCAGCTGTTCTACACAGAGCAGTTCTTCCAGGAGAAATTTTAGGCAGGCAGCTCATTAGGGAGAAAGCCATGAATTTTGAAAAACTGCCTCTCCAGCTCTTCTCTGCCTGCACATGCACACCAGAAGCTGGGATTCACAGAGGTGTGTCTTGTAGTCATAAAGAACATGGCAACAGCCCTCAATTTTCATCATTAAGGCTTACTTTTTTTTTTTTCCCCCAAGGAAGGAGACTGAAATTAAGTAAATGCTAGAAAAGGGCTAAGATTTTTAAATCACTTTAAATCACAAAGGGAGGGAGACCCCAGTTTCAAAATCCCCTGTGTCTTATGTCGTGTTCCTGCCCAAAGCTGAACTGGCTTTTCCTCCGTGCAAAGCAGTCCCATAGCTCTTGCCCTGATGCCTCTCAGACGTGGGGCTGAACTTCCCCGTCCCTTCTGCACCTCGTGCAGCTTCCAGGAGGAGCCCAGCACTGCCGGCACTCACAGCGGCCCCCGCCGCATCTGTAAAATGGGCCCTTCTCCACAGCTACAAGTCCGAATGCCAGCAGCATGTGTCAAACAGCCCTTATCTACAAGCAAGCTTTGTTTCAATCCATCTGGAGGAGATAAAACCTCGGGAGTTATGACCCGGCGGTTAGGAGCAGCATTTGTGTGCACTGGGGGGCTGGCAGGGGAACTGCTGGCCTAGATGAGGCCTCAGAGATATTCCTGCAACCCAAACCTGCTGTGCTCGGAGGCAACGTGCTACACATATTGTCCATGCAATAGCTTCCATTGTGAAAATGATGGAACCAAATTATCGCTTTGATATAATCTAACAAAGACATCTGAATGCTGGTATGTATCTCATTTGCAGTTTAGCTTTTTCTGAATTTTAGCACTTGAAAAAAATCATCCATGAGGTCTGAGGCTTCTTTCTAAGACCCTAGGCTGTAAACAAGGACGCACATATGTCAGAGTGATCCTGGCATAACTAAATAGAGCACCTCAGTTTTAGTCAGAGAACTCAAGTCATTAAGTTGCTCACATGCACCTCTGTGCAACTCCATGGGAAGGGAACTCGAACCAGGTAAACTGAAGCTCTATAATAATGCAAATTGACTACAAAACAGAATTATTTCCTTCAGAGCTCTAAAAAACTAAATTCACAAGCACTAAGTTAAGGATTTTCTTCCCCAAACCAACTGTTAGCTGAATTTGTCAGGGTGATAGTTGCCATATGGCTTTTGACAAGCCACATGAATGGAAAGGCTGTAAACACCAGGCAGTTAAACAGGCCTGGGCAGAGGAAACCTCTCTATGGGAGGAAACACGGAACTCTGAGAGAATAGAAGAAATGGGAACAAGGAAGCCAGCAAGGAGCCCCACATTGCACACCTTCCTCCCAGTGTGGTACGAGCACATAGACCCAGGAGACCTGACACCATCAGTGGCCACAGGACAATTTTGTGACAATTCCTGAGATTTGAAAATATGTCTCATTCCCCAAGTGACACAAAAACTTTTGAAGCAATTTTGGAAACCTGGTTTGTGTAAGGATGCTGTATCTGGATCAAAAATACCCATTTTTACTTCTCTTTGGTCTCTCTCGTGCTTGGAAGTGTCTTTGCAAAACTTTACCGAAAAAGCTATTGAAATCACTATCTTTCAGTAGACCATTTTGACTTCAAAAACATTTAGTCAAATGCTTTTTATATTCGTGTTATACATATAACACAAAATCGAAAATACATATAACTGATGCAGCACCAGCCAATCAGCCCGAATGGGCTAATTTCCTGGATGTCTTTAATGAAGCGGCCCCGGCGGCTCTTCCGTCGCCGTTCCCGCGTTACGCTCCCGCCTCGGTGTTTAACCTTTGGGGCAGGCCGCTCGCTATCGCTGTGTTTCTGCTTATCCATCCGTCAAACGAGAGTGAACGTGTTTACCTACCCTGGCGGCTTGTGTGCGAGGGACAGACCGCAGCATGTTTCACTCGGCGCCTGCAAACACTGAGGGCAAAGCGTTCTTGAAGGACACCGGCCCGCTAAGACTCCCTATGTGCTTTCATGTTACATGCGGACAAACCCACACGCATGGAGCGAGACAGGCAGGTGGGTACATGCAAAACTGGGGCCGCTCTATCCTTGGCTTTCAGAGAACAGAATCCCAGCAGGAGGGCAAACACTTGCATCCCGCCCCCACACACACTCATCATTTACTTTATTATTTACCACTAAACTTTCCCCAGTGGTCCTGAGCGAGCTTTGTTGCCTCATGACTAGGCCCGGGTGCCCCCACCACAGCCCGGCGGAATTCAGTGACTAGGTCGGAGGAGCTGGGATGTGAGCACGAGCCCCTCACGCCTGTTCTCGATGCCTTTTGCCTAGGGATTGAGGGCGGCTTGTGCTCAAACCAGCGGCGGCTCTGATGAGAGCCAGATGGGAAGCCCCGCTACAGGAAGCACGGATACAAACAGGGAAAAGTCGTGGGCTCATCCACAGGGTACCGGGGTGCAGCGGTGACATGGCTCCGCCAAGCTGACACAGAGGCAGGCGCCCCCCCCTGGCCCCC